GATGATGATGATGATGATGATGATGATGATGATGATGATGATGATGATGATGAGAGCCCACAGTTGCCAGAGTACAGCGATAAAAACTAAGTCGACCGACGGCTCCTAACGGCAATTAGTTGGACCGCTGGTGTAACCTAGTACATTTCTGTGTTTGATCTGTGCCTCAGGAGAATATCTGTCTGAGCTCATCTGAGCATGCGCAAAGAACCTTCGACTGCGGCTCCTTATTTTTAGGCTTAATGAGACAATTCAGTTGCCAGAATACAGCGATAAAACAGAAATGGCTTGTATTATGATATTTAAAAACCCCAAACAAACAACTGTGCACTTTAACGTAGTCCAAACCACCATGGAATGCACTATTGTTTCGTTCTATCAACCTATTGAAGGGCAAAGAGACTAAGGTTGCGTGCGCACTCGACTGGAGCGAGTCTGGCGCTCTGCCCTTCCATTGTGTGCGTTAGTGAAGGGTAATTTTTTTTTTTAGAGATCAGAGGGTGGGTGCCATGACGGTGCCAGGTCAGAGGGGGAATGCCACGACAGTGCCAGGTCAGAGGGTGGGTGCCATGACAGTGCCAGGTCAGAGGGTGGGTGCCATGCCAGTGCCAGGTCAGAGGGTGGGTGCCATGACAGTGCCAGGTCTAGAATGATACAATTCGTCGGTCATCTCATGAAGTGTCGTATCTGCAAAACTAGTGTTTTTCAGGAGAGAGGTTTAAAGTTATTATTTGTCACGACGTGGTGGAATTAAGCGCTTGTCAAATCTTTGGACATGTGGAGTTGTTGGTATCGCCTTAAAGCTTGTACATTTGCCTTGCTTTCGATGAACGAAGTACCCATTGATCTTGAATACAAGTTGAGATAATATTTGCGATTGAAGAAGGTGGGGGTCGCTTTGTTGCAGAGCGAAAATTACGGCCAAAATTTCGTTACTTACATAGCCTGAGACCCGTGGAAACTGACAATTTACTTTTTTGTGCCTTTAATCAACATTTTTCAGTAAAACCCAAACAGAAATGGGGTTTTAAATGAACATAAAAGGTTTTAAGCACCCGACTTCCCCACGCTGCCTCACACGTCACAGTTCAAGTCGGTGCACGAGAGAATCAGCTCACTTTGTGGGAAAACCCGGTGTCCTTTTTGTCTGAGGGACTGGGGTGTAGTGGGCGGTCTCTTTGCAATGCACGCTAAAGGCGCGAGTTTGATTCCTTCTTGAGTGTTGAGTGTTGAGTGTTGAGGTTAGGGTTGAGAGTAGTTCAGGAAAGGGTTGAAGCCAGTACAGGGTAGGCTTGAGGCCAGTAGTGATGGGCGGCTAGGTTCCCCATTATTGAAAGCTTGGAATTGTAGGAATCGACTCCAAACTGAGTTACTTACTTTTATGTTGAGGGCATTATTGGGTGTTATGTTGTGGTCTTTTTT